CCCCAAAACCCCAAAACCCCAAAACCCCAAAACCCCATTTAAGTTAATTTTTATTGAGAAATATGAAACTTGAGCTAATTATCTCGGCTATACATCATTCTTGCTCTCTTCCTCTTAAGCATGACTAACTTAATCTCACTCTTGCATTCTGAAAGCCGATCTGTGAGCCCTGCCTGTGTCGATTCCTGCAAGGAATTCCCCTTGGAGAAGACCAGGCGAGGGTTGAAGTTCTCACAGGAAATATTTGAGCTTTTTAGTGCTGATTTCATCTAAACTTTAGCCTAAAAACTTACATTGGACCTGTATCAGGTACTTTCATTTGTAAGGGACTCAAACTTCAGGGACTTAGAATTGATCTGACAGTAATCGTCCTGGGAAGAAGAATCTTCGTCCTCTTCTTGAGTCTCCACGATAGCGGCTGTCAGCTCCTGATCCTCAAGACTCCTGAAAATCAAATGGTCTTTCTCAACTGGGATGGAGGAGATATTATGGAACCCACTCGAGCACACATTGTCATCTTGGGCGAAAGTCAGGAGGGTTATATTTTTATCAGCCTCGTTTAAGGTCCTGTCTAGGCCGAAATGGGAAGACTCTATCAGCTTGTCTCTGGTTTGATGGATCTCCATACTCCTTTCGTTAAGGAAGTTGACTTCCTTCCTGAGGACCTCATTTTCACGATTAAGACAGTCAAGTTTGTCCTCAATTATTTTATTTCTCATCATCTTTGATTTCTTTAAGGTAAATGGTCCGGACTTCTTCCATGTACTCTCTTTCAAGGAGCATGTCAAGTTTGGAAAGGCTGAGCCGCTTCCTAATGTAAGCGTTGCTTCGGACTTTGCGCTTCACTCGTTCGCATGCTTTCAGCCATGCAACCCCTTTGTTATGCCTGATGTGGTGAAGTGCTGTAATCGGGCTCTCAGGGTCGATGAACTCAAGTTTTGGGTAGCAATATTCAGAGATATTCTCGCTAAATTTTACATATTTCCAATCAATTTCTATAGGAAGTATTTCTGTAGAATAGCTTGTCTCCTGCGGCTGGTTCATACTCTCTTCATGAGAGAGGAGATCCGAAGGAGATAAGACAAGTCTATCGCTCTGCTTTTGGACAGACTCTGGAGTCTTGTTGCTCTGCTCCTTAGAGGTTCCTTCTTCGATAATTACAGAATCTTTGCTTTGCAAAGAAGACTGGGATTCTTGAAAATTTCATAAATTCTCATCCTGTAATGTGCTGAAGAGGTTGGTATCCAGCCTGATCTGGCTAGGCTGGCTTTCCTCCTCATCTTGCTGGAAGTAGTCCTTTACCTTTATATCCGAGTTCTGAGATCGGCGACTGTCTCTTTGTGAGTTAAGTTCGGAGTTATTAGCAAAGTAGAAATTAGCTTCAAGGATATTATCTTTCATCAAATTACTCTTGGTGTCATCAATATTTTGGCTAGAAGTTTACACAGTGGCTTACTAGTAGTTCTGGAGACTCTCCTGAGGTATGATTTCAAAGTTCTCCTTTGAAGACTCTGTCGTCAGGGTTAATAAGGCCTTCCCAAGGGGAGAAGGCGTCTTTTTAATCATATTCATATGTATCCGTTCTCTGATCTTATTTCACAGTGGAGCTATCTTTTTGGTTACTAGGGACCCCAAGCAAGGATTCTCTGAGGCTCTGGAACGTGCCTGTGTTCTCCTCTATCCCATCAGTGTCCTTTGACTGTCAAGACCCATTGGGATGCTCTTGGTCTTTATCCTCAGAAGACTCTATGGTTTGGAAGAGCTTATTCTGGTTCTTATGACAACTATACTCGTAAGGGTAGGTATTTTCGATCATGTTGCAACTTTGGATGCTAATGCACTCGCTTTCCGCGGGATAATCCATTATTTAAAATATTCAATTAAAGGAAATATTGAAGGGGTTTTGGGGTTTTGGGGTTTTGGGGTTTTGGGG